TTATAGGTGTGAATTGACATGTTAGTGACATGTTAGTGGCTACACGGACTCTGCCAACTCCGCCGTTCTATTATGTATGTATTATAGTTTTCTATGTGGTTGACAATACACCCTGGAATGAGGTTGTAGCTTTCAAGCCGTTTTTTAAATAAGTTTGTACAACCTTCCTTATTGTATAATATGAAAGAAAAGCCTGGGTTTCTTGCTAGTTCTTCCTAGGACAGAGGTTTTTTATAGTTTTTTATATATTTTATATTAGGATAAGAATTACTTGTAATCGAATATTAAATAAAGAAAATCCTTTTTTTTCTATATTATTCAATTCCATTCCATTCTAGTCCATTACATTATATTCTAAAAATAATTTGTTTTCAGTCATATTTCCGCACAATATTGTCATTTTTAAGTCATCGAATTGCCATTGCAAAGTTCAGAGGTGCCTTTTGGAATTTATTTTGGTTTAATCCCGTATAATGGAGTTTACGGTTATACATATTCTGTCATGGCGGCAAGTCTCAACGCACACTAGCCGTCTGTGCACGACACTCTCTATTTCCTCAATCTCATATTCCGATGGGACGGAACGATCGAAAAGAAATCAGTCACAATTTCAGCGGCTTTACGTTATTTCCAAGGCACGGACGGGCTTTAACACCGGAAGAAAAACCATTACAAATTTTGGTCCAACTTAGGACCTCGTGATCGGCAAACACGTTCACTACCACTAAACCAACAAGAACGAGACTCAGCATGAGCCATAACCACTGTTAACAAAGCACGACTGTGTTATATCGATTTAAACATTTCATGAACTTAAATCTTGTATTTCTTTTGTGTTACTAAAAAAATGCCGCGGCTTGGTTGTTTGCAACTAGGGTTGCTAGAAGGTCGAGATTCGTCTGGATTCTCCCGACATTTTAAATCATCTCCAGACTCCCGACAAAACTCAATATCTCCAGACAAACAGCTTCTCTTCACATCACAGCTGCCTTTCATTTAATAAAAGCTGAGTTAGTAATTAGACTGATATTTGAAATAATTTCTTAGAATTTACTTCAAAATTCAGTTTAGGACTCAGTAAAGTCCAATGCCAAATACACGTGGCAGCCTAATAATTTAGTGTACTTTTTGTTATGTGTAAACAATGTTGTCTTTTTTTAGCCTACTTATTTTACATTATTGTTTTTAATATTTATTTCTCCCGCCAACAACCACATAATCTCGTAATTTTGAAATATTGTCCAGATATTTTGGTTTTCCAATCTGGCATTCCTGTTTCCAACACGGGCTCAAACTTAGTCGTGCCATAAATAGATACTCTGTATCTCCGACTCCGACCACGTGCCCCACGCACCGTCGCTGTTCTAGTAGTACATAACACAGCCCCACCTGATGGTAAGTAAACATGTGGCACATAGACGTCTAATCTATCCTTGGTTAAAAATCAAAATGCAGATGTGTTGTCACCCCTGAAGACTAAAACAGAAGCCTCATATCCAGTAAAAAGGTATCGGGTTCTCTAAACTCTTCATAAGAAACACAGCAGTATGAAGCTGCTATTTTACGCTGGTATTCTATGAGAGAGTGATCTTTCGATCGAGCCGTCCCATTCGTTCTTGACATTATTTTTGGATTTTAATATTAGTCATTGTCATCTAATTTTCTTCGCTTCGCTACACACGGCTGTCTCGCCGCCTTCACTGAGGCTGCGGCCTTACCCATTCACACTTGGCAATTAAACGTCGAAACTGTCGCTGTATTGTTATCATGCAAGACAAGCAAATAAAACTACTCGCCTCTTGTAAAATAAAATTTACTTTAAAATATAATAATATTCTATGCTCTCGCATATTGTATTAAATATGCGAGATACTCGTATGAAATAGGGAACCAGTGTATGTAATCCTAAAGCTAATAAAATAAACCCGGTTTTCATACGTCAATTCTTTTGTGAGTTATCGTGAACACATACAAAATCAACGTATGTACCGACATCCGGATGTCTAAGTAAAAAATATTTCAAACCGTTTTTTTTTTCAATGTTGGACTAATTAGAGCATTTCTTGATATATATCATATTTCCGTATAAGAGCAATATGGTAATGATCATTTTTATATTGCGTAATTATGATAAAGATATTTTAAGACCACAAAATTGCTCGACCTTGACGTGTCGGGAGTAAAGCATTACAAACGCTTCGCGTTTTGAGACGTGAAAAAAACCTTTCTATTTATAATGGAAATTGTAACTATTTAGCAAACGGAGTGCTAAAAACGACTCGCTCGGTGGAGAAAATTAGTAAATCAATAACGACTGGATCGAATGTATCCACCATCGACCAAAATCGTCAGAAGCACACAACTCGACTAAACAGTTTGGTCAATTTAACAGTTGTGTATTACATATGTATGCAATTACTCTAAGATATATCCCTGTTGTATATATTATGCGGTAAGCGTTAATGCAGTTCTCGGTTCTAGTTTCCGAAATTAATAATTAAATAAAACATTTTATATAATATATGCCTTGTTGTCTTGTCCAAAGAGCATATAATCCTGAGATATAAACACTACGTCTTATACTATATTACAGGTATTATCTATGGAAATTACTCATATTTTGACACGTTCAAATTGACAGCATTTTAGAAAAATTTACATTATTATCAAGTAAATAAATACATGTATCAACTATGGAAAGGAAATGCCACCCCTGTAATGAACCGATAGTAGATAAAAAGCCACCGTGCCCTCTACAATGTATGTCACCAAAATGTCAGGCTTATCAGAAAAAGGTAATCAAAATCAAATAGTTCACGTAAAATACGTTAGGTTCAAACGCCTAAATATAAAAACACTCTTTAGACGTTCACAACGCGTTGTGGTCTCTTTAAGTTACCCTCAACATAACATTTCTGTTGGGTTACTTTGAAAAACGAAGTTACATTATGACGGTACAAAAATAAAACCTTAGACTATAGCATAGAGTCTTTGAATATTTAACCAACACAGAGTACATTAATGAAGAGTTCTTAATTTTATCTGATGTTGTGAATTTTCTTTCGCTTAATGAAAGATTTCCGATATTAAGCCTAATGGACGACACACACGGTCGTATCAAAACATGTTCACTTCTTAAGACCTATCCGTTGGGAGGCACTGTTGAGGTCATTGAGCATAGTGCTTAAGTCCTCCAGCGATTCTGCCATAAGGACCATATCGTCGGCAAATCGAAGGTGAGTGATGTACTCGCCATTGATGTTAATACCGTATCCTTTCCAGTCCAGTAGCTTGAAAACGTCTTCCAATGCAGCGGTGAAGAGTTTCGGGGATATAACGTCACCCTGTCTTACACCTCTTTGCAGTTGGATAGGTTTCGAGCTCTGGTTCTGTACTCGGATAGCCATTGTAGCCCTACTGTACAAGCACTTCAGCACTTCGATATACCGACAGTCAACTTGGCACTGCTGAAGGGACTGCAGCACCGCCCAAATTTCGACGGAATCAAAGGCTTTCTCGTAGTCCACATACGCCAGGCAAAGTGGCAGATTGTACTCTTCAGTCTTCTGTACAATCTGCCGCAGGGTATGCATGTGGGCTATGGTACTGAAGCCTTTTCGGAAACTGGCTTGTTCGGGAGGCTGGAAGTCGTCGAGTCTGCATGCGAGACGATTCGTAATGACTCTCGAAAACAGCACGTAGACGCGGCTCAGAAGGGAAATCGGTCTGTAGTTCTTCAAGAGAGCGTTGTCGCCTTTCTTAAAGAACAAGACCACCGCACTTCTGCTCCACGCCTCCGGAGTAGTACCACCATGGAGGACGGAATTGAAGAGCTTCTGAAGGACTTCAAGTACCGGTGTTCCACCCGCTTTCAGAAGCTCCGCTGTAATTCCATCCTCGCCTGGGGCCCTGTTTTTTGACTGGCAGACAGATCTCTGGCAAAGACTTTGGAGCCCTGGTTCCGCTCGATCGCTTCTTTAATACGAGCAGTATTAAAGTTGCGTAAGTCTCGCCGCATGCATTTGGAGATCTGTCTGTTCAGTTGCCTGTATGCTGTCAAATCTGTTGACGATTGCAGCCTCATCTCCCGTCTAACAGCCATGAGATTAATAAGAGTGTGATCGGAGAGTTTTTGTGTTCTTCTGCGGTGGGTCTTGCAGAACTTAGCTCCGACCGCATGGACAGTTTCCACGAGCTTGTCATTCATATCGTCCACTGCATTGAAATCTTGTAGACACTGAAAGCGGTTACGTAACACGAGCTGATAGTTTTCGGGATTCTGGATTAGAGCACGAGGGGGACGGAGCGTTGACTTCATTGAAAACTAACTATGATGAAACCTTTACTCTACCTCTAGATGAAACCTCTCCAACTTAACGTTTAGGTTCAGTGTGCCTATAACCATTCGGTGATCGCTGCCAGTTTTCACCCTTGCAATCACTGAGACATCACTGAACAGTTGGCGTCTGGTCGTCATAATGAAGTCAATCTCATTTTTTGTCGAACCGTCGGGGCTCGACCAGCTCCACTTCCTGTGGGGCCGCTTCTGGAAGAAAGAGTTCATCCATAAAGAGTCCCTCTTTCTCCATAAAGTCGGCCAGCTGCTGGCCCCTTCGGTTCCGTTGCCCTACTCCAAATTTCCCCCTTCTCTGTACTCGATCTTTTATTTTGGCTTGTGTAAAATATGACTAGGCAAGGTACTAGGAAACACTTTAGACTAGGTCTGGAATATTTATAATATCCCAGATCTAATCGCATGATAAATGTGACAAGAAGTTTTGTCTCAGTATCAATAAGTCAATATTTTGATGACTCTGTTGATCTCATGTTGACAGCTCCGCCTGCTGGCAAGCAAAGCTATAATGGAATCGGGTCTATAGTGATTTAATATTTGAAAATTTGTAAAAAATTGGTTGTTATCAATTTATTATTGATTTATTAACCAATCAATTAAAATTATACAATATTTAATAAAATATCTATCACTTTACATCTCCCAGGCTCCAATCGACACAAGCAAGAAGCCAATCGTTTGGATACTGGGTGGTCCAGGCTCTGGTAAAGGCACGCAATGCGACAAGATTATAGCCAAGTACGGCTTCACCCATCTGTCCACTGGCGACCTGCTCCGTGCTGAGGTCAAAAGCGGCTCCGACCGCGCAAAGTGCCTTACTTCTATCATGGAACGAGGTAAGTACCAAAAATGCTGTGACTATTCTTCCTTTTAGACAAGAGATTGTGTCACTTCTGTTATTGTGGTCCTATGATAATGTCCAGTAGTTTGTTAATATTATGTTCTTCTTTTTCCTTATTGGTCCATTAAAGTCAACTGCTGAAAATAGGCCTCTCTTATTGTAGGAGTATTTGCTGTAATCGTCACGCAAGCGGATTGTCATTCGCAGTATTTATCGCGGGACATAGCTCTAGCGCTGACCGAAAGATGGAGGGGATAGTTGCGAATGTCTTATCAGTACGTAGGACAGAATGTAACTGGAGCGCCAATTAGCGCGTGCGAACGATACGCACGGCCAATCATACGCAATAATGCATAATACGGCCAATTATGCGCAATAACGGTCACCGCTAGACTTTCGTGTTGCGATTTGTACCAGATGTTTGACGCTGCTGCCTGTCTGCAGGTTTGCGTATTTTACGTCGTGTATGTATACCGCCCCCTATCGGAAGTCATAAGACTTTTCGGCATTTTGTATAGTCACCCCTAACGACACCCACAAGACGATATGGGTGGACGGATCCCCTTACATCGTCGTTTCCGTTACAGCCTATTAAAGTCCATTGCTGAACATAGGCCGTCCACATATGTTGCCTCACAGACGAGATATTTGCCTTGGTTACCACGCTTGGCAATCTGGTATGGCGACCGCAGTTTTTTATATTTAGTTATTAGGAAGATCTGATATCCTGATTTGCTTCCCTCTGTCGTCTCTTACGACACCCACGGGATAATATGAGGTAGAGGATATTCTTCTTACCCCGCCACTACACGATTATATCGCCATCATACGGCAATTCATTATTATTTGGACGTGGAAGAAAAACATCACCCGACGGGCAAGGTGTTCAGCCCGGGGAGCGGGCAACTCTCCGTGATAGTACAGAGTTATTCTATGTATACGGCAGTACTTCGGAACTTTTGATAGCGTTATTTAGGCTGCGGTGCGTTTCGCTTGTGGCGCGACGACAGCGTCCATTGCTGGACATCTGTGGAAGCATGTGGAGGACGCTGACCTTCCTGATTAGAACGACCCTTGGTTTTCTGCTTAGGAGTCCGCTTAATCTTAGATTTCCGCATATATCTATCTATAACTGGTGCCAAGCGATGGTGCTCCCAATGATGTGTTTAGGTTTGAACAATGGAGTAACTGCGAAACATTTCATTTTAGTTGTCAAGGGTGGCAACACCTTCTATGTTTGAATTTGCAGATGTCGATAGGCTCCAAACACTTACAGGTAAATTATTGGCTCGTAAGTCACTTTATTACTCATTGGTCACCGTTATAAAAATCTGACGTTCTTGAAACATGTTTTTTATAGATAAAAGGTGACAAACGAACACACAATTCACCCATCACGAAATAGATACTATCTCTGGATATCTCCAATGGATACTTCTGATTCTTAATCAAGGATATCTAATATATATCCTTGATTAAGAATCAGAATGCAGATGTAATGTCACCCATGAGGACTAAGACGGAATGTCTCATTTCCAGTAAAAAAGGTCTCCAGTTCAACTCACTCACCATGCGATACACAGCAGCATTAAGCTGCTATTTTACGCTGGTATTCAAATTTCATATAAGTACATTTGTAAATATGGTTTTTGCAGGCGAGCTTGTCCCCAACGAGACCGTGCTGGAACTTCTGAAGGAGGCGATCGAGGCGCGCGCAGCTGATTCCAAAGGCTTCCTTATCGACGGCTACCCGCGTGAAAAGTCACAGGGTATTGCCTTCGAAAAGGCAATCGCTCCTGTTACTGTAAGTGTAATTCCGATATACGACGATTTGGCTTATAATTAAGGAATGTAAAGATGATAATAAATAAGCTTGTCGATACCACGCAATTTCAATATGATTTTCAAATTTAATACTATAACATATTATATGATTGTAAACTGAAAAATCATAAAATTGACTTTCAATAAGTATGATTTATAATCCTTATTGAATAAAAAATATATATCTTGGCGGCATTTGCCTCGTTTACGCTAGACATAAAATACCTAGATCGGCGACGGCCAGCTGCGTCAAAGGTACGAGACGCCTGGTATTGTAATTGTTTTGCTGACTGTAACAGTTAAGGCAAATCATCAAAATGTGAGAGACCCATGCCATGGACCAACCCATAGACTTTTACCGACTGATATAGAATACCTATGTCTCACAAATCTTATACAACACGCTTGCATAAAGTGGATTTGTAATTGAAGGTAGTGACGTAAAAATGTTTCAGTTGGCAAATTACTTTTACTATTAAACTAGTGATCTGCCAAGACTTCGCACGCGTGATTTCTGCATCTTGATAACAGCACTACCTGCTGGATACAACTGTGGGTGTGAACCATTGAAAGACAAACTGATACAGATTTAAAAAATCATGAAAATCGTCCCAGACGCTTAGGAGGAATTCAGTGACTAGTGTTGCCACCCGTATATATTATTGTACTATATTTCAGTTAATTGTACTATATATTATAGAAAAATACTATATTTTTATCCCTAAGTCAGCTCTCGCGTTTTTATATATTAACTGTGATTAGAATTCTAGAAAGAACACGTAAGTTTTACAGAAAGCTTTTTTACGTCCTGAATGTAAAATTGAAGGAAGAAAGAAATAGAGCATATATAAATTTTGTTAAATACAAATTATTAATTTATTTTGATATGAATCTAAATTGCTCAGACTCCTTTAATTATTTTAACGGTTATAGATAATTGACGGCCAAAGCAAAGAGCAATAACAAATATATATGGAAAAATACATAAAGATTAAAAATAAATGTATACTTTTTTCTCCTAAATTTCTCAAAACTACTATATTTTTGCATCTTTTTTGGGAAAAATATTATATTTGTTAAAGTAAAGGTGGCAACCCTATCAGTGACAAACACAACACACACAGAATAATTATACATACAAGTTAGAGAAATAAAAATAGCCCTTTGGATCTACACTTTTACAAGTGTAATAAAAAATTAAAGTAATTATAGCAAGAAAATAGCAGTCAATAAAAATAAAATTACGATTACATATCGAAGGCTTGCTATCATCACTGAATTACGTCAAGCTTCGAACCCTTTCCCCTTTTTTTGTGATCCCTTTCGCGTTATTATATGTGCAATTTAAAAAAAATCCTTAAATGAATATGTAGCAGAATAGTGTACCTATTTTACGCCGGTATTCTGTGAGGATCTTTATCACACGTTCGATTTTATGGTCCGCAGGTGATAATCTACTTCGAGGCATCATGCGAGACGCTGACGAAGCGGCTGCTAGGGCGCGCGGCGAGCTCCGGGCGCGCCGACGACAACGAGGAGACTATCAAACTCCGCCTTAAGACCTTCCTCGATAACAATGACCTCGTGCTCGCACAGTACCCTGACAAACTTAAGAGGGTATGTGCTTTCACTAGTTTCAATAGCCTTTTTTTTTTACCCGACTTCATCAGGAGATTAAACGGCTCTCAATGAGTTTGAAACCCGCACGAAACAGGTAGTTCCGTGCGGGTTTCAAATGCATCTCGGTATTCCCGAAACTGCACCGGAGATCATAACAATTCAAGTGTAAACGTGGGCGTAGATTGCTGAATTGCGTCTGGAAGACGGGTGGTCTTCGTGTGAACACCGATAACTGTTCTTTAGCTTAAAGATCTAGAATAAGAATTAGGATAATCATAGTTAGGCTCTAACATGTATCGGACATGTAGCTTTAAGTTGGAATCCATCGCGGATTAATTAAGTAGTATATAAGTAATGTATCGCACATTAATAGTAATAAGTTTAAAATAAAGTCTTTTTAAAAAAACGTCCTGAGTCAATTTCGAATCTTGACTAGGTATTTGAATGGCCTACAAATAATGTTTATGCTTGTTTAATTTATGTATGTGAACTACCCACACGATACAGGAGAAATTCTGTTGACCTGCAGGCCATCCCTGGAACTTCTCGCTATGTTCGATCTCAAAACAAAATTACATCACAAACGTTCCGACCAGTTATTTCGAGGTTATTAAATAAAACACATTTTTGAAATTTTTTGAAAACGATAAATTTCGACCTGATCAACCGATTTTGATCTAATGAGTGCTAACACGTAGACAGAGAAACCTATAGACTAATGATTAGCGTGGCCTCGAGTGAGAAAGGACGGTAACGTAGTTTTAGGTTATACAATAATCTTTATGACTTTTAAACACATTTAGAATAAAAAATTTAATTGTTATAAGAATTGAACTGAACAAGATTCATCAATCTTAAGCTCACAAAATATTTGGCTGTTGATGAATCTTATTTTATTTTTCTCACTGAAACCAACTTCTAAATTCCTTCGATCGCTACGAACTGTCAAAGTTGTTTAGCAAAGTGTAGTTTGCTAAACAAAAAAACCGGCACGGAGAAAGGGACAAACAATCACACCGCTCTGTCTCATTTCTATACAAGACGTATGCACAATCTGTCTTTTTCGTGTGCGAATGCGAAAGAAGGAGTCAATTTGTCTATAGGTTTCTCTGTCTACGGGCTAATAAAATCTTTCGCTCACCAGATGTCGCTAGTTGACAATGAGGTGAAGTATTTTTTTACACAATTTAATTTAATTAATAAGTTAGTTTTCAATAAAGGTTCGATAAAAATTGCATTAATTATTAACCATTAATAATTTTATTGAATTTTATTGACCCTGCTCGCGTACTCTGAAATAACGATAACGACGAGCGGTACGCTACACTACTACGACTCTTACACGATAATTTATAAATAAATATTTTAGAAACATCGTCTTCAATTTCATAATACACAAATTCGATATCCAAATACAGCGTCACTTGTTTGAAAAATCTGATTATGATTGAAAATATGGTAAATCTATGCATAGTTACAGCTGTATGCTTGTAGAACTCCTTGCCTTTATATATTGGACGTGTGTTCAGTCAACTATTCATTTAAAATTCTACTCAAAGTTTATTACTTGAAGCTCTAATATTTCCCATCGTAATTCTCGTCCTTAAATTGTATCATCTCAATTGACATCATCTTGTTTTTTATATTTATTTATTTTTTCTTTTACTTAATATAAGTACACCTTCCCTATTCGCAATTCGTTTTAAATAACAGTTCTTTATGCAAAAAGGTTTTCTAGTAGAAACCGCATTCAAAGCGGTAGACAGCCTATTTTACCTTCTATATAATATATTTTATTTTAGTTTCATTTTATTGTTTTATTTCTTTATGTGTATACAATAAAAAATATATCGATTGATATATACAACAAGCATCTAACAAAACCTTCGTGATTCCCGTTAGGTAAACTAAAGTTATTTCTGTATGTTTCAATGTTAAAATGTTTTTTTTATGTGTTGTATATAAGATGTTACCGTGACAGCCTATTTATATAGCTAAAAGTCATATATGACCAGTAATCATAAAAATCGTAATGGCTTGTCAACAATATAAAGTTCAGCTTTTTATTACTGAAAATCGATTGTTTTAAATTACCATAATTACCCCGCATTGCACCCGCAAGTACATGTAGCCATCGATTCTTGAATGGGCCTTCGAACTTCTTATTGTTGTAGCTACGTATTTATTTTAATGACGAGATCTTTATCGATTGTATTCGAGTATATCATTCGATTAAAAATAAAATAATAATAAAATAGAAAGTTGATAGTGAGGGCAGACCGAATCATACGCACACACGTTTTATAGACAATTTTATTGTCTATAAGCTTTTAGGCATTAGAACAATACTAATATTTATAATTCTAGTGCGTGCAGGTAGTAAAATATACATACGTCATTCGTTAACCAAGAAGCGAGTCCACTGCGTTCCTATCTAAAGACAGTGATCCAAGTTAATTTAAATGCATAATTTAATCTTCATAAATTTATTCAAATTATTTATTTTTTATATGGATTAATTTACGCTTAAATTATTAAATATTAGCTATCCACCCCGACTTCGCATGGGTGATTTCTGGATTTCGACAGCAGGGCTACTTAACGGGTCCAATTATGAATTTATATCCAGGGACCATTCCAGCACACAAAAAATTTCATCAAAATCATTTAACCATTTTCAATTTTCAGCGATACTAAAGTACAGCAATCGATTTTTATTCATAGAGATTATATTTCCTTCTCAATTTTTGTCAAATCCTATACAATGTTCAGTTATCTGCAATTAACTTTTTTATTAAATTGTAATCAATAGACGTCTATATCACTATATTAGAAATTTTCCGTTACAGATAAACGCGGAGGCATCCGTAGACGAGATCTTCGGGGAAGTACAGAAAATCCTGGACCCCATCGTCGCCGCAGCGGCCAATTGAGCGCACAAACGCATCGAATCTTCGAGCACATTTGTACATACTAATTATAATTCTTGTTGATTAAATTATTTATTCTGTTACTAATTGATTTATTCACCAGCCCATCACATACCCACTGCTGAAAATAGCCCATGTTGCTGAATCTGTTGGCTACCTGCGTGCTTGGTCAGGTCGTCGTTGTTATCTATTGGGGATGAGGTTCCGAGTTCGATATGGTCCCGGTCGAGCCAAAATTAGTAATTGGATATATCTGTCAATAAATTCTCAGTTAGTTGTAAGTTGGCGGTGTTTCACTGGGTTATTCCGTTTATTTCGGCGTTATTCCGGTTATTCCTAAAGACTCCACCCTAGGTTTGATGATGAGGATAATACTCGGAAACGCGTTCATCTACCCCAGACGGGGTGGATAATGGGAATTCACTTTTATTTCTTCTTCAAAATTTTTACCACAAGTACACTTTGACACATACGCTTTTAATTTTTAATAACCACAAACCTTATCAAAAACATTTACGTGTTACCATTACCGTTACAGCCTATTAAAGTTGAATTTGCATTACGTATTGAATTTAAATAAAATTAAAACTTCCTCGTTTTAAATAATATTATTGCGTAATTTATTGATAAATTCATCACTTTTAATGTATATTTGCAATCGTTTTTTTAAATATCTTTGTTACCACAGTGTGTTAGCGATGAACTGGGTCTTTTTGCAAGCATTCCAAAAACTAAAGAAGTTTGTCTTTTAATTTATGTTAAATTATTTTATGCCAAGATTCAAATGAATCTGTAATCGTATGAGATACTCCTTTTATTTCAGCGTTAACTTTTCAAACAAGAGGTATGTATATATTTTTACATGGATAAACGTAATAACACGTTTCACCCTCGTGCATGCAAAGCACGTAAAGCAGTTGGCCCTGCGTCTGATCTCTCTCAGGTCATGTCGGATTGGCGTCCCATCGGACTGAGAATAAGGGAATAGAGTGTGCACCTGTCCTTGCACCCAGGAACTATAATCGTGTCGTGAGCAGATGGACATTCTCCGTTGAGACTGGTCACTGTGAAGTTCGGTGATCTTCGAAGCCCCCAAATGGATTTCTTAATCTTCTTTTTATTCATCTTTAGCCCGTAGCAGCCTACTGCTGAGCATAAATCTCTCTCAACTTGGGAAAATTTGAAAGAAAAAATAAACTAACGTGGTAGAGCTACACTGCAGCTATTATGGTGGCAATAGGAATGGGTCGTCTCGGCTCGTACTCTCTCATAAAATACGGCGTAATATTGCAGCTTCATGCTGCTGTTTCGTATAATCGTACGTGCATCCGTTACGTATGCATTATCACGTACATTTTCTATGAAACGATATTTCCAAAATTTCACGTCCCGCCCCATCCGGGATAAAACACGTTACGTATGCAGTGACCTTAAGTGTAGGGAACCTGGTTTTTCCTGGAAACGAGACATCCTTCCCCAAGGATCCGTCCCCATATCTACGTTCTAATTTATAATCGTGGATGCAGCTAGGTCTACAATAATGATATAAAACCTTAGTAACAAAATTACTCCTCTACAAGAAGCAATTTAACAGTTGTTGCAAGACTGTAAGTTCACCTGTCACTTTAATTATATTTAAAAATAAAAATAGTAAAAAAGTAATATATGTCTACTTTATTAAAAATTGAGATCTTACAATATTTAACGCACTTTGAAGAGGTTCGCTTAAATGCTAATATTTTCTTGCATCTTTAAAACATTTTAGATTAAACTTAACAATTCTTCTTATAGATATAGTTTGAGATTTATTTATAATTCACTAAATTATAAAAGTTATTGGATCTGCTCTTGCTCCTTCTCCCTCTGACGCACCGCTACGGCCGTCTCCACTAAGAGGTACAGGCATTTAAACTTGTCTCTCTCAAGCTCCGTATTTCCCGGCACCACCTGTTAATGGTTCCTTTTTAATTCATCCCAAAGTTAAATAAACATCAAGCACCAAAGTAACTTATTAAAATTAAATTTGTGGCTAGCAAAATATAATAATGATTTCATATTAAAAACATCAATTTCATAGATAAAACATAATGGAACCATTTCTTTACACTGTCAGGTGATGCCGGCATTAAAATAATATCTACATGAGAAAAGAAAACAAAATATTTGAAATAAGATTTATTAATTAAAGATTAACTCAACAACCGTTCAACATAAAGAAACAAAATTGCACTATCACGAAACTTTCTTAATAGAAACCAAGGTATTGGCTTGATTAAAAACTTTACAAAGGTTTTAACACCGACGTCGCCTACAGATTTCATTTATTAAACAAAATCTAAACAGTATAATATTTGAACACATAATACACATTATAACTAATAAATTTTTGCCAAATAATTTCTAACGAAGTTATAAGTTTGAGTCATTTATATTTCTATAAACGTCGTCAGGGTGGAAACCGGGACAACGTACCCACTGCCACATTTCTGCCATACTAATGTAACCGCTAATAATAAAATAAAGCTCACTATCAAATAATAATGGTTACATAAAATAGGTGCTTCGTATATTTTTTTAGTAAAGCTTAGTACACTAACGGTTACTGTTGATGGAATGTACGAGTATCAAACGTGTGCTGAATTAAAGAGTCTTTATTTTACTCTGTATTTTAAGTTTTTTAAAATCCATTTTATGACAACTTACAGTGACTATAACTCTAGGATAAGTTAATTTCGAAGAATGAGTTTTATAAATAATATGTAACAACTCTATTCAAAAAAACTAAAAATAATATTCTTACAGTTTTCTAATTAGTTATCGACATTACCTATTATTAGCCCTGTCCGCGGCGCTATCTGGCAATAGTTTTTATTTTCAAGTGGCATAAAATATCCTATTGTCTTAGTTAAGAAGATGGTCTGAAGTGTGCCTTTCATCTATATCCTCTTCCATATTTTTACGTGCTAGTGCCAAGCTGTAGCTATATTAACGTTGTAGCACGAATGGTTCGGCTCGACCGGGGAAGGACCACGCTCTTTGAGAACCGGAGACCCTTTTAACTGGATACGAGGCATACCATCTTAGTCCTCAGGGGTGAAAACGCATCTACATTTTAGATATCTATGGCCTACAGCATCCACTTACCATCAGGTAGGCTGTTCGCTTGCTTGTCATCCTTATTTTATTTAAAAAAAATAGTTTTACCGTTTATGCGTGATTGATTAAACATTCAAACATCTTCACAAGCTTTCACTTGAATTAAAAATAATATGAATAATACGAAATGCTTAGTCGTAAATAATAATGAAAATAATATGCATTACTGATTTCACTGTAGATTACTGTTATAATGACCTGAGTTTATACGTAAAACATAATATTTGAACATTTCGTTTTGAATTTTCAGCAGTTGTAACCGCTTATGTACAAGCTTAACGAAGACTCTTGGTAATGTCGTAGCAAGTAATTTTTTATTATTAGATCGATTATTAGTGACAGCACAATTTGTGTGGTGTAATATCTACTGTTCAGGTAATACACGTGACGTAATAATAATATGAGTGGCTCTGAAAATGTACCGAATAACGGGAGCTATTTTCAACCGTAGACACCTATTACATAAGTATTACTTCCTTGCAATATCATTGCGGAAATATAATGCGAATTTCATTGTCTATTTTGATCACTGAAGAATGGTAATAAGGTAAGCTGACGGGCATGCAACGCGTTCACGTGTTAAATGTGTCGATTCTGTTGTTGGGGCACCACATGTCCGTGGTGGCTACTTCCAACTCCATGGCCACCGGCGGTGGAGGTGTACTCACCTGAATGATAGAGAAATTAGTGAACATGAATGAACATATTGTATGCACGCATTTACAGTTGTTGTGGGATAAAATATAAACAATTTGATCCATGCAATCTAAATACTTTTAAGGTTCTCAGAACAAATATTTTCTATAGAAATTGTTTAAGAATATTGTGTAATGACATGATAGTTTTAACATATTTTTTGCATTGAATTTGCATAAACCACAAATCTAACTTAATGTAAGATGCAAGATCGACCAAGTCTAAAAACTATCTATCTACTGTAAATTCAAATTATGTGGTGCAGGTATTTATTAAAATTGATATCCGTGTAGTTACTTCAGCAGCTAATTTTAGGTAAGTTGTTGGATTTAGTCCTTCTTGAGAATGTATCAATTATGTCGGTGAATGTCAAAATTCCGCTGGAGAGACATGTTTATGAGAGCAGCATCGACACGTTTATACTGATAATAATGTTGCCTTACATAAGTGTTTTATTTGGCTTTGTTGTGAATGTATTTTATTAACCCTCGTTTGTAAATTAGTAGATGCAATGGACAGTGGCGAAGCTAGAGCTCCAAGCTAGGGCAAGCCCAAGATATAAATTGATAAAAATATAGATTGTTGTTTTTAGCAGTTTTATAAAAATACACCAATCTTGATCTGTCTCCACGCTTCAGTTTCATATTCAGTGCTGTCAAGGACGTGTTTAACAAAGCACACAGAAGGCATACCACTGCTAGATAGATTGTATTACATATCATATTATTATATATAGCTTCTACATTTGTATACAATACAATTGCATAGCTTCGGTGGCTTCGAAGAAAGCCGTTTGGGTTTGTTTAAGCGAAAGAAAAAAATATTTACATCCAATACAATACATGAACAAAAGTAAAACACTAACAAAGTACAAACAAACTATGTACAAAATTAAAAAAAAAATATTTACATTCTAACGGATAAGAGATAAGATAAGATTAGTGGAATCGTCTCGCTTTCTTATGGAAAGATTTAATTACGTCCACGTAAAATGTTGGTGAACGTTTTAATTGTACCAATAACTGTTTTTAATTGCGATAATTGATAAGTCTGAAATACACTCTTAACCTTGTGTATTATCTCAACAAAGTTTAAAGATTTCCTCTCCGATTATCACTTTAACACACTTCAATTTATCACAAGGAACACTA